GATAGTCACATACTCCGCCGGGGCATACGATGATCGTCTTCAATCCTTAAAATGACTGACAGCCTAGTAGTAACAAGCTCCGTGAGGCGTATATGGGGATCATCTTCTGCCCTTAAGGTGACTGCCCACCCGATAATGACAAGCTTCACGAGGAATCATCTTCTGCCCTTAAGGTGACTGGCCACCCGATAATGACAAGCTTCACGAGGAATCTTCTTCTTGATAACCTTCGCAAGATGGAATTTTTTTCTTGGATAGTTACATGCATATAACTCAAAACTTTGCTATTTACAATACTGGTATTTAGATGAATTTTTTGAACTATCGAATCAATGCATTTTGGCATGTCACAAACACCATAATTTGATAAAAATGAAAAATATGAGTTGGAAATTTATTGTTAATTTTGATATTTGAGTGACACTGGAAAATAGATAAATAAGAAATCTACAATTCTATAAATAATAAAGTTTTTAGTGTTATATTTATGTAGTTGCCCCAAAATGCTTTGTTAATCATACAATTGATATAATCAACATGGGAGAAGCAAAAGAGCATAAAAAAGAAATTCCTTCATAAATATATTTAGTTAAAATGCATATAGATTGCAAGTCAAAAAATAAATGTATTTAAATAATAATAATAATAATAATATTAAATGGATGTAAGATTTACTATGAGAATCATATAAAACAAAAGTAATATCAATATTGATTCTCCTAACCTCCAAACATTCTTTTTTTAAGCCCTAAAATGATAATTTTTCAACAAAATATAAAAAAATTAATAGAAGTACAAAACAACCATTACACCAAATGTACTTACTCCAACTAAGCGTCATCATCTCCTCATAAAGAATGATATAAAAAAAATTTATAGAAAAAATATGTCCCTTCCTATCTTGGTACAACACATCATAGGCCTAAGTATATAAATCCTTGATGATTGTTTCTTACAAAGAGAACCTTCTAAGTAAATTTCATCAGTGAAATTTTGGGGTCCATCAATAATAAAGTGTTTTACTTTAGTTATGAAATCATATATCACCCGCAAGAGCACCAGATGAAATTGTTGTAGCTTCAAATAGAGAAGAACGAATGCAACTTTGCAGAAAGCAGCCTCAACGTATCACAAAAAAAAGCTCCATGATAAAAAATAGCAATAAATAGAGCACCAAAGATCCAAAAATAGCAACAACTTCGTTAATCGGTAGTAAGAGAATATTAAGAAAAACAAACTAAACCAACTAGAAGAAGAACCCTAAAAAACAACAACCAAAATCAAAACAGAGAAAGAAAACAAAGAAAATAGTTGAATTGAAAAGAAAGAGCTCCACCAAACCAAGCGAACACATCCAAATTCAATGAAATAAAATCCTGGCATAAAGAAGACCAACAAATCTTACAAACAATGTGAAATCAACAGAAAAAAGAAAACTAGAGGATTTCATCACTAGATAATCAAATGATTAATTGTCATGACAAATAACTCAACTACAGGTTTAAAATTTATTAAACTGTTGAAATATAATTCCATCCAAATTTAATGAATAAAAAAAAGTTGATGAGTACACCTTAATAAAAATTCAAAGAGTGGTAAAAACTCAAAGATAGGAGATGATACATCATAGCTCAACCAAAAATAGCCTAAAAAAGAAAGAACATATAAAAGTATCCATATAATCACTTAAATACCTGAAAAAAAGAAATAACAGGTGAAGCAACAATAACACAACATAAAGACTACTGGAAAAAGATAAAGAAAAACACAACAACATTCATTGCTAAAGAAAAAGAAATAGAGGCAGACAAGATACACATAGAACCCACTCCAAACTAACACAAACTAAAAGAAAACAAACACTTCTAAAAACACACAAGGAATGAGAAACCACAGAAACACAAGCACAAAAAAAACAAACAAGAAACAGAAAACTGGAAAAAAAAAGTTCTTGCTCCAAAATAAAATGAAAGGAACAAACAGAAGAATAACAACATTAAATCAGAGGCAACAATCAAAAGTCATCCAAACATCAGTAAACCAAAAATAAAAAATAAAAATAAAAGAGCTCAGTAAAAACTAAAACCCAAAGAAATCAACTAAATTCTGAGAAATCAAAATCCATAAAGAAAGAGGGAAACAACAAAACTCACAGGCTATCATGATAGAACAACATATCTAACAACCAAAGTAAAATTAGAAGGACAAAACCACAATAAACCAAAGAGAAAAAAATATCAAAACAAAGACTCGATTATATGTTAGTACTACATCAAATGGTTGAGATATAATTTCATCCAAATTCAATGAGGCAAAACATAATATATGAATAAACTAGGATGAAATTTTAAAGAATGGAGAACACTCTAAGTTTGGATAGGGTACATCAACCACAATAAGAAAAAAAAAACCTAAGAACAAAAAACTAAGAGAAAAGTAATAAAATAAATAAAACATTCTATAAAAATTTAAAAAAAAACTCATAAAAACAACAAACTAATGAAATAACAAATCATAAAACATTAAATTTTATAAAAATTTTTCAAATTAGTAGAAATATCTTGTTTAAGTTTCTTCTTCAACTTTGCTCTTTTACCAACCAATGAATGTAAATGAGAATGATCGTAATCAAGGCAGAAGTACTCCAAAAAATTCTATTGTTTCTTCCAAATCAAATATAAAACACAATAATTTGGATAGCCAAAAGTTGAAATATCTGTTTAATTTTTCAAGAAATATTATTAGAGAGATAAAGAACTAGCAAAAAAAAAAATATTTGGGAGAATGATGTGATAACTAATAAAAATACATTTATTATTGATATAATAAGTAAAAAGGCATTAAAAAAATAGATAGGTTTGTGTTTTAATATCAAAATAACATCAAGCTTAAAAATACTTAACTAAAAGTGTATATACTAATAAGAATATCAAAAGTCTTTAAGCCACTATGAATAATTTTCTAACAGTGAACAAAAAATTTAATAGAATAACCTTTAAATCAAATTAAATTAAACCAATTCACGGAAGGAAAACTTTCATAGAGAAAGAAATAAATGTCCTGAAGTAAGTAAGTATTTTTATTCTTTCAAAGGCAATAAGTACAATTAATAATAGGAGTTATATGAATGTTTTGAATACACTGAATAGGAGTAGATTGATTCCAAGCTCCATTATTATCCACTTAATGAAGTTCATGATTTTTTTTCAAGATTAAAACAAGAAGAAACAAAATCTCCATAAAAATTAATAAGAGAAGAACTAGAGGAATTAAAACCATAAAGAAATTCTTTAGCTAAGATGACATTATCAGTAATACCATAATCTTTTATAAAAGCAACTTAAGTCAAATGAATAATTCTAGGGAAAATGGATCTAAGACGATCAACAAGTAAAATAGCAATAACCTTATAAACTGTTACAAATAGAAATGGGTCTATAGTCATTGAAAGATTTAACATCTCTATTTTTAGGGAATATAACAATAGCAATATGTTTCTCTCAAAGGAATTGTAACCATTTTTAAGAAATGTCTAACATAAATATAGTCCAATCTAGTGAAATATTAAGTTTATTTAAAGAATTTATAAGTAAAACAAACTGAACCAGGCATTTATCAAAACCAACAGAAAAAAAAAAAAAGACTTGGCTTAATTTCATCTGCCGAGAAATTCAAAGTGAGCCGAGCCACATAATCATTATTATTGATATAATTATTAATTGGACATTTGCATAAAAATACAACAGTCCATGGATCACGAATTTGTCCAACACATGATCATGGCTCTTGCTTTTTAGCACTTTCATGTGTTTTGAGCAACGCTGTTAAGCTGCAATAAAGAAGATTCGTATCTAGATATTTAGCACAAATTTAACATATATTTACAATATCAATTATTTAGGGGTTATTTAAGACCAAATTAATATGTTATTTTTTCTTATTTCAATTTTATTTCATGTATAATCTAATTTGAAATAAAATATGCTTGATATGCCAAGACAAGTTTAATTATTTTTAAAAATAAAAAATAGTCGAATATTTTACAAAAAAAGGTAAATTGATTTATTTTAAAAATAAAAAAAAACATATGAAAAAAACATCAAATAAAGATGTTCTTAAAATAAAAATAAATAAATAAAAGAAATTCATCCCAATACAGTCCCTTAATAACTCTATATGCATAAAACCTTTTTCAAATATCACCAGCAAATTGAAAACAATAAATTATTTTAAAAATGTCACCGGCAAATTGAAAACAAATTTTAAATAAAAATGTCATGCTGCCAAGCGGAAAAAATAAAAGCTGATCTATTTGAATTGAAAGAGAAAATTAAAAAAGTTTCGTTGACATATTTATTGTTGCATTAAATATATATTTGTCATCTCAATTGTCAAATTAATAGATTTCCTTGGACTTAAATGAAATCCTCTTTATTTGTTCTTATTATTATGTAAGTGATTTAAATTTCTTTTATATGTATGAATATATATATATATATATATATTTGAAAATATAGAGATATAAAAATAGTTTATATAATTTTAAAATTTCTCTTTCGCTGCAAATAAATCAGTTCACTTTTATTATTTTTATTCCCTACTTCTGAGCGCAGCGGCAGCATGACATTTTTATTTGCAATTTGTTTTCAATTTGCCGGTGCATTACGCATGCACCTCATGATTACATGGTGTTAGCGGCGAAGCGGCCTGCGGGCCCGCCAGGCTTGCCATTCATTTGCCAACACGTGGACCTTCCAGGACGTCGCTCCGCGGACGGCCGCGCCTGGCCTGCGTGGACTTTTACTTCCTTATTTACAAAACTAGAAAAAATAAAAACCCCAAAATTTCCCCGAGCTTGCAAGCAAACACGCGCTACAAAACACTCAAACCTTCCCCAGCTTTCAATTTATATAAATCCTCTCCGCTCCCTTCTCCCTCCCAACAAATTCATTTCCATGGAGACGGCTGCGTGGCTCCGAGGCCGGGGGCCGGGGGCGCCCCAGCCACTGTCTCCCTCGCCGCCGCCGCTGCAACAGGGGACATATTCGCCGTTAAATCAGCTCCACTCACCCACTCTGCTCCACTGCAGCGCGAGCAGACCATCCTCGCCTCCTTAAACTCTCCCTTCATCCTCTCTTCCCTCGGCTTCGAAGTCACCAAAGAAACCAGCGGCGCACTTTTCTATAACCTATTCCTCGAATACGCCGGCGGCGGCTCCCTCGCCGACGATATCAAGCGGCGATCCGATCCCCTTAAAGAAGCGGAAATCCGCTCGCGGGCACGAGATATCCTCATCGGACTTGCTCATCTCCACAACTCCGGCGTCGCACACTGCGATCTGAAGCCGGGGAATGTCCTGATTGGATCTGACGGTCGCGCTAAAATTGGCGATCTGGGATGTGCGCGGTGGATCGCCGCTGGCGAGAGGGAGATCAGGGGATCGCCGATGTACATGTCGCCGGAAGCGGTGAGAGGAGAGGAGCAGGGGTTCCCTGCCGATATATGGTCGTTCGGTTGTACGGTGATTGAAATGGCTACCGGTCGGCCGCCGTGGCCGGATGTCACCGATGCTGTGGAGGGAATTAATCGAATTGGATTTTCCGGCGAAGTGCCGGTAATTCCGGATTGTTTTTCGGATGAGGGCAGAGATTTTGTAAATAATTGCTTGAAGATGAATTCGACGGAGCGGTGGACGGCGGATGAGCTTCTGCGTCATCCCTTCGTCGAATGCTCAAATTCTTCCTTGAATTGCGCGGATTTGAGTTGGGTTTCGCCGAAGAGTACTCTGGATCTGAGGGTATGGGAGTTCAATGAAGGAGAGGAGATAGAAGATGAAGAGGAATTCTTGAATAACCCGGCGCCCGGTAGAATCGAAGAGCTCGCCTCAGGCTCTGCGGACCCAAATTGGACTTGGGATGGAGATTGGGAAGATGTTCGGAAAATGACCGGAGAATGCGCGGCGGAGACGGAGGTCGTGATCGCTGTTACTGTTGCCGGCGGCGAGTTGGGTGTCGGCGATTTCGTGATTTTTGACGAGGATGCTAGCACGAGCGGCGGTGAGGAAATCGTGCGGGATGAATCGCGTGAAAGTTGGGGATGGGAGAACGGGGATGACGAGTTGAATCGTCTTCGCCGCAAAATGGGAATTGTAGATAGTGGAGTTACTGATTCTTTGGGCTTTCTAATTGGTTCTTTGCTTCGGTTTTTAGTTTGGCATTTTGTTTTTGGAATTTTTTGTCTTGTTTGATTCTTGATTTGAATAGTGAATATTTGGTAGTTTATACTTGAATGGTGCTTATGACAAATGGATGGAATTTGGTTCAATTATACATGGAGTTCTTAATGGAAATATATAGATAGAATATCTATATTAAATTTTGATTAGAATATATCTTAAAATTTATTAAATTTATATTATGGTCAATATATTGTACACATAATTTATTAAAATTTATGTTTTATTCATGTATAATACATTTAATGACTTTAACACTAATCATGTCTTTATTTTTAGAGAATCTAAATTAACATATGCCCTTCAAAATTTGATGAAGAAGATCCTTGCACCTATTTAGTTTATTTTAAGATTAGTGCTATTGAATCCAAAAAAGTCTTGTGGATCACGTTCAAGACATAGAACATTGGACGGATGAGAGGAATCCAGAAAGAGTAATAGAGGAACCAAAGTGTAGGTGTGAGATAACATAAGTTCTCAGTGTGAATTAAATAGTCATTTCTTGAAGAAATGACTCTCTATTTATGAATCATAGTGTGTCTAGTAAAGTTACATGTTTATCCCTATTTTAATAGGGATGTTACAAGTAATTATTATATATCTTTATATCTAGGACCATTAAATATTCATCATTGACGTAGAAACGATTTCATATTCATAACTGCTTGAAGAGAGACCAACAATGGCCTACTGATATTGTCATTCGGTCGCTTCATAACAGTTTGGTCGACTGGAAGGTCTTCGGTTGGCCATCTTAAGAGAATTAACAATAGAGATCCTCTTGTTGTCATGTTGAACGTAGACTATCAAGCAATGAATGTTTCACCTTAATCTGATGGACAACTCTCCACTGGACAAAGGGCCCTTACAGAGGATTTGACATATACTCACTTGGGTGCCATTTGGTCATCTTTGTGAAGAATCCCAGAATTAGTTGAGGGAGGTGATTACAAATGACTGCCCCTTAGATCAGGTGTTCCTGTTCTTCAGTTTGGATGTGCTTCCATTTGGTGGGCTCAGAATTCCGACTGAATGAAGTGACGCTTGGCACCTCGATCTTTTGACTATCTTGATGGAGTCCTTTGGCATCTATTAAGCAAGACCAGTCAAACTTTTTTGAGATTTGTGCAGTCATATTTTTGATGTACAAGTTCAATCTTCAAATAATTTATCCAAATTTTCTAGTATATTTAATCTCAAATTAAATTCAACACTTTTGAGACTAGAATATGCGGAGTAGTAATTACGAGAAAACGTTCCTCCGCACTAATAATGACCGAATTTGGTCAAGTTTTAGCAAATAAATGGCATCTTAATCTTACTATGGTGGGATTGGAGCGGTGAGAGGTCGTTCAGATGCACCAAAAACATTGGTTACAAGGATATGGGTAGTTTGATTGTTCAACAGCATAAAAAATTATAAAGACATGGCCTCGTAGAACATTAGGGAAAATTATGACTCAACTAAAAATATGGTGAGGTTGAACATCTATTTAAAGATGAGACCCCCTTTTAGTTCAAAATATAAGCAACATGATATAGCCCAAGTAGGAGACACTTCTTCGAATCCTAACTTTTTGAAGATAGATGATGGCATAAAGTTTATACTTGCTCCAAGATCACATAATGCTTTACTATAAAATCTTTCTCCAATTGCACGAGGGATAGTAATGCTCCCAGGATCCTTAAGTTTTTTAGGAAGTTTTTTCTTAGTGATAGTGTTGCACTCCTCAGTGAGTGCACCTGTCTCATAATCTCCAAATTTTCTATTTTTGTTGAGGATGTCTTTCATAAACTTTACGTAACTGGGCATTTGCTCCAGAGCCTCATCAAAAGAAATTTTAACTGTAAGCTTCTTACAAACTTCTAAAAAACTCAAAAATTGTTGATATAGTTTTTACTGTTGTAGACTTTGAGGAAAGAGGGGTGGGGCTTTTTCTTAGTTAATCTAGGTTGGTGAAACTGGTTTCTCTAATTCCTTGTAAATATTTTACTTAGGTTTTTCAAGCTTTGAATGGTCTTTCTCCGACTCAAGGTTCTTCTAAACTACATATTCCAACTCTTTTCTACTCCTTAACTTCACAACTTTGACGTGCTCACTACTCTTCTCCTTAGGGTTAATCTCGATTTTTCTAGGAAGAATTCCTTGAGGTCGATTGCTAAGTGAGTTGTTGGTTCTCAATGTTTCTTATAGCAGTACCTTGACTTTGCAGTTGATCTCATTTGCAAAACAACTTTCTCCAATATTGTTCTCCTTAAATTGTGGATTCTTGTTAAATCTAGAATGATAAGAAGATCTAAAATTGGAATTAAATTGATTATTCCAATTCCCAATAGAATTTACTTGATTGTTACCCCATTGTTGGTTTCCTCCACCAAAATTGTTATTCCTGTTAGATTTAGGGTGGTTCTTCCAACATGGGTTTTAGAAATTGGAAAAAAGATTGTTAAATCTATTATTTATCGTGTTTAGAGTCTCATATGATGAAGTTTTAATATCAAACAATTATCTAAATGAATTTTTCTCAATTACTGGAGGTACTTGAGACTCATCCCAAATTGTCTAACTTACTAGATATAGGTCCTACCTGAGAAGTTAAAATCGAAAGCTCAATAGTGTTAAGTACACTGGCTACTTTATTCAGGTTTACTCTCTTAGCGGACCATTGAAAGTTGTTAGTAATCATCTCCTTAATTAGAGAATAGGCCTCATCAAATGACTTTGACATGAGCAAACCACCAATGGCAACATCGATAATAGATCTAAGAGATCCTATTATACCATTATAAAAAGTCAAGACAAACAACCAATTAAGCAGAGCGTGATACGGGCACTTCCTTTGAAGTTATTTAAATCTCTCATAAGCCTCATATATTGACTCACCATCGTGTTGGAAAAATGAATTAATAGCATTCCTTCACTGTTTTTTAAGACAGTAAATACTTGGAATTTTTGGGCTAGTTCATTCCACGTTCTAAAATAGATCCAGGTGTTAATGAGTTAAACCACATTTTGGCTTTATCCCTTAGGGATAAGAGAAAAAGTCTAAACCAATAAAAAAATCATTGGAAACACCATTATAATGAAATGTGGCACGAATTTCGAAGAAACTTGCCAAATGTAAGTTTGGATCCTCATACGAGGTTTCCCCAAATTGGTTGTTCTACACCATTTAGATCATAGCAGACTCAAGTTCAAAAGTGTTGGCTTTTACAGTATGAGTTTGAATACTTAAGTGAATTTCATCAATCGTAGGATTAACATAATCCCTTAATGGTCTTTGCACGTTATGAGACTCATTAATTTATTCTTGAGTATATATGTTAATATGTTGATTATTCACTATTTCTTCTTCAAGTTTGCTTTTTTTTTTTTTTCTATTTTCTAGTTTTTTCTAATAGTTCTATCTAGTTATGAGTTGTAAGGTTCAAATTCTATTGGACCTGTACTACGTATTCACAAACTAAAGGTTTACTAGTAGGTTACAAACAAACAAATAGTAAAACAAACAAAAAAAAATTAAAAATTTCCAAATCTAAGTTCTAATAGTTCAACTAAAATTCTCTTAAATTCTTCACTTTCGTATCCCTAGCAACGACGCCAGCAAAACTTAAACCTTGGCAATGCTTCAACACTCATATGGATTATGCAAGTTCATGGTCAAAATAGTATCAAATTTTTTTGAATCAGCAATGTCGATCCCAAAGAGAAACATGGTGAAAAAATTTAGAAAAAGGTTCTAACCTACTTAATTCATCCACAGTTTGGAATTCAAAAGAAATTTAAGTTGTGTTAGCAGTCCCTAATGTAGTGCAAATAAGTTTAAAGCTTATTCATATAGAAATTCTAATTTTCCTACTTAAATTGGTGATAATTAGGTGATAAAGCTACCTTCCATTGCAGTGATAGTAGTGTAATTTAGAAAATGAGAAAATGCAAATTGAAATGTGGATAATGACAAATCGGAGCAATTATTTTCCTTACCCTCTGCCGAGTACATAAATAAGTTTGGTTAAAGTGGCCCCAATTCCTTAAGCACCACTTTGAACCAAAGAACGATGATCTCCCTATCTATTTGCATCTCCCTATAGTGTACTTTTGCTTCATACCCTATAGTTCAACTTGTTCTTTCTAATTGTTCATGACATAGCTCTCCCGAGTCATTACGGGTTCACAACAGATTTTAATAAATCATTTGACTAGAATGATAAGTAAATAAAATGCGAAAGGGAAATCTTCACAATAAAAGGTTAAAAAAAATTAGAAATCATTTCCATCCTACTACATCACCACAAGGAAAAGGTAAAAGAGATTAGACAGAAAATATAGATAAAATGCCACAAGGCTTCATTGAAACCAAGAGAATTCACATATCAAAGTTTTTATAAAAAAAATAGAACAATTAAACACAATAATACTTATCTCTCTCCCTCAATACAGCCTTGAGAATGCTCCATAAAAGCCCTTGCTGATTTTCTGTAGACTTTCCTCACTTTAACACTCAAATCCTCACCAATTCTCTACTTCACACTTGCTCTCTCTACCCTCAAGCAAGCATTCTACTCTAAAGATGTCTCTTTCACGATTAGTAGAACTTCTAATCTTTTTTCTCCAAAAAGCTCTCTGTAAAAGTCTTCTAGTTTCCTTAATTAGACTTCAATATCCTCTATTCAAATTGCCTCTAGATCGCCCAACTGAAACTTCAAACAGGTGGGTCGAACTGTTGTAACTGCACCAGGTTCGGTTCTGGCACCTAGGCGCCCAACTATTACAACACCTAGGCACCCAACTATTCTGGCGCCAAGGCTCTGATCTTCACACCTGGGGCCTTCGCGCCTAGTGGCTGGCTCTTAGGTGTCGGCCTCTCGGTTGCACAGATATGAGGCAGGCCCATAGGTGCCCAAGAAGTCTGGCACCAAGGCCCCAACCCACTATATTACCTTCTTGCTCCATGTCACATCTTTTCATTCCATATCTCTTCCAATTTGCTCCACTCATAATATCTTTTATACCTGCATGAAAAACATAAAAGTACTATTTTTTTAAAGTGTAATTTCAACCAAAAAGATGTGCAAAACATAAAGAAATTCATGCAATCCTTTCACACATCAAATGTTTGCGTCAAAAAATGGACGGGCACGTCACTTTTCGAATTATAGGTTGTCGCTCTTAATGACATTTCTACCGTCAGTTATATGAACCGATGAACGCCGACGATATTAATTTTCTCTAAGAAAAGCGAGTACATTAAATCGACGACTATGCTTCGGTAATTTTACACCATCAGGATATCGACAAGTGTTTTACCCGCGATTCTAGAACTGTCGGTAAACTGTTAGAAATATCAAAAGTAATGGTGTTTCTCATCATAACTGACAAAAAATGGCCGTAAAAAAAAAAAAAAAGAATTTTCGTGTAGTGTGATGCATTTGTAAATTGAGTGTTCTTGTAATATTTCTTATCAGTTTGGAGTAGGTTCCTTAAAATAACGTTTTGAGTCTATACAAAATTTTACTTCTGATCCATTATTATTAGAGATGAAACTATAAATTTGCATAAGATTTTATAAATAAGACATATTAAAATCTCTAGTTAGAAGTCATAATGAAATTTTGATTAAATTTTGGTTTAATACTAATTTTATTGTTTAATACTAATTTTATTATGATTTTTTTTTTTTTTGTAAATTTAACAATGGTTATATTTTTCAGTTATGTATGTATTTACATTAACATTAGTACTTATATTCCTGAAATTTTTGTAGGTCATTTACTTAAAAACATATATGTATTATGTATAAATCAATCAAAAAAAATGTCTAAACTTTGTTACTGGCTTGATCAACAAAAATTGAAGAATTCATAAGCAAATTTCACAAAATGTTTAAACTATGTTGTTTGGCTTGATACAAAAGAATGAAAGATGTCATAATCATTAATAGAACTCTCTAAAATTTTGCTGGTCCTTGTACATATTTGGTGATGAATAATGTTGTGGGTCTATTTGTAGGACAAAATAGAATTGACTTTGGTGGACTCGACATAAAGAAAAAACTAAATGTGCTTACTTCAAATTAAAACTCACATTTTTTTTCTTTTTTATTTTTCTCTGGTTTGTAATGATGCTGATTAATCGCTTTGGATGGAATGGCTAAACTTAAAATTATCCATCTCTCTCAAATCCTTGATGCGAAAGTCTAATTAAAAATACAAAATTTTTGTCATGATCAATATTTTTCTACAATAGGAAATTACTATAAGAAGGAAATTTTTAACCTATAAACATCTATGAAACAACAACAACAAAAATAAAAAATAAAAAAAATATGAAGTCACCTTTACTTAATTAGACCGATGTCTATAAAGAGAATATTACTGTTCTAGAGTCTCCAATTTGTGCTCAACAATGATATAATTCCATAAAGGTTGCTTCAAGGACAAGGCTATTAGATGTAATGTACAAGCTGCCATGCTATAATTTATTGCCTCCCAAGGCTATATATGTTTAAGAAAACAATTAAAGATACGCTATAAAACGCTAGAAATTCTTGCAGTGCTAAAAAACATGTAGCTTTTCCAAGTGATAGTGAGGCGTGAAAGGATTTATATGACACCCAATTTTATAGAAGAACCACATATTATGCACATTAGAATTTCTACTGATAGGTTTACTTCTCCAACATATTTAATTTTAAGCTCAATAAATATGTTTGGCCAATCTCATTATGTTCTATAACTTGCCATCTATGTTAAGCATGAAACCAACATTCATTTTATTGTATCTGGTTATTCCAGATTCAAATAGAGATGTTCCACGAGGCAGCAAAAGAGGCAGAAACGTCTTATTGCTACGCACCTTACCTTAATTGATTCCCTCAGAGTCTACACAACATAAAAAAAAATTAAATGTCTCCTTGTGACCTTTAAACTGATTTTGAACGAAAATATCATATATTTTGATGCATCAAAGAAGCAGAAGTATGTGTTAAATCATCAATCCATTTATCCATATATTTCTCCATAAAGATTAAGAATGTTGGTGGCCTAATTTTCCATCTACCCAAGCTCCCTTCTGAAGCCAGCTAGCTTTGCCAACTAAATTGGCGGCAAGCTTTTGTATTCTTTCATGCCTTCGAGTTCTTCTTTTCGCTTTCTTGATCGCCAGACTTCACCTCCATTGCTTGCCGACAAGATTTACCTTTCGTCTTCGACAAGGAACAGCACGGTTATGTTTGGTTGATTTAATTAAGTGTAGAGTTGGCTAATGATTTGCCTCTAATATGCTCCCTAAAATATTCTATTTTTGCGAATTGGGCAGTAGTTGAGTGATCCAGTGGTTTGTCTCCCCGGGCCAACTGAAGCACAAGCACACTGAAAATTTATAAATAACAAAATTGCATCTTGCGTGCTCGCCAATCCTAAAAAAAAAAAAGGGTTTATTTTTAATTTTCTTTTTGTACGATTTAGTGTTTCCATAGATTAATTCCTTCATACATACCATACAATTCTTTTTTTACATATAAACACCTCAATTTTGAGGTTTAGTTATATAATTAACACATAAATCCTTAAATCATTTGAAAAAAATATTACTAAAATTTATTTTTTATAAAATTAAATTGCAATGTGATTCGTATTTCAAAGATTCTGCCTCGTGATAATGTAAATCTTTTTTTTTCTTATAATTACTTTTCTCCCTAAGTGGCATTTGTGATGACAAAGCAGTTCAGAACCTTCACATGCTTGAAATGTACGAGGGCTTATTTGAGATTAATTTAATTTTTGGTTTTTTTATTTTTGCTAATTTTATCTTGTTTTTAAAAATATATTTGTTCAGAGCAATAATAAATTATAGCATACAAAATATCCTTCATTTCAAGTAAAAATATAAATAAAATAAAACAGAAATTAAAAAAAAAACAAAAATTGATCCCAAACACCGCATAAGATTTCATTAATCAGAAATTTGTTTTACAGTTGTTCCCAAAAGTCTTTCTGAGTACCCTAATAGAAGAGAAGCCTATGGCTAGTGGGCAAAACAGTGCAGATAATCACCACCAACCTTGTAAGAAGATATATATACGCATATACTAATCATATTATTTACTAAAATTTAAAGGCATGGCTTTGCGACCGAACAAGCAAGAACTCCGGCATTTGCAGTTAGCAGTGGAACCATAGATCCTGTTGCGACGTAGAACTGCTGTAGGGAAGAATAAGCTGGGGAGCAACTTCCCCATCCCGAAGGAACAAAGTATGCACCGTTGAGAAAAAGGTCCTTTGTGGATCTCCATTTCCAATTCTTCCAATTTTTTGCCTCTCTTTTTGTGACCTGCAATGATTCCATGACAAACGGTTTAGTGGTGATGGAGGAATTTAATTATGTTTGTTATAAAAATTATTATATTTTTCATATATTCTATGTCAGTAAGTTTTTAAATAGCCAAAATGATTTTTTAAATCACAATTATTTATAAGCTAAACTTTATAATTTCTTGGAACCTAGGTTCGGATAATTATATTCATCTTATCGTATATAATAGTGCTAGAATTAAAGGAGTGTGCGTGGCAATAAGAAATATGAAGTTTTATTAGTTTCAGGGATTAGAAGAATTTCTTCTTTTAATCAAATTTAAATAAGAAATATTTCGTATTATTCCTTTAATTATTTTCCTTATAAGTCGTCAGGAAATCCTCCCTCTTAATTTTTGAGTGATCTATATTTCCCCAATTCATTGTCCATTTTGATCATATTGTTCCTCTTTCTCTTGGAGAGAGATTATTATTATCTTGTTTGAATTATCTTTAGAAGATATAATTCTTCTTTCTATTAAGAAGAGTAGCTATTATTATCCTTTTGCTTCATGCATCCTTTCATAGTATAGTATCTCTTCTGAGGTTTGTTGGCCTTAGTTGATATAGTTGTCAATCATTTAAAGATTGAGATGATAATTCCTCATTTACCTCTGTACATAGTAGGATAGTCCTCCCTTATTCTAACAGATGGACTATCTTTATTCAATTTATTTGAGCCATATATTCATTCATTATAGGAGAAGAATTTTCTTATCACAATCATTCATTAACTCCTACATTTGCAATCCCTTCCAACTTTAAATAAAATGATTGCACTAAACTCCCTTAATCATCAACTAAGTTTTAGTTGTTCAACTCCCTCTAAATTTAGGAGATGAGATATCCATAATCTTTGCATGTTTTCTATAGGATTAATCAATATTTTTAGTCCTCTTCCTTAATTCTTCAAAGAGATTTCCCCTATTAGCCTTAGTTACTAGTCAATGTTTAGTCACCTTGTTATTTCTTTTAGGAGAACCACTCCCTTAATAATTTTATGTTATTTAATTAGAAAATGAAATTGTGCTAATCAACCTCAAATTGCTTGATGACTTTAGGCTGTTTAGTTTCTCATCCTTCTTTTCAAAAGAGAGATTTTCAAAATTAAATCGCTACATAACCTCAAAATCCACTTCACCATCATAACAAGATACATTGTATAATGTTTTGATAAAAGGTTTTCTCATGTTTGGAAGTAATAATTGGATCTTATATATATTTCTCCCAAAATCTTTTGTATTGTACTAAACAACCCTCTTACGACTTTGGGAAGAATTGTTCCTTAATTGTTTTTATATTACAATTAATATGATATATATATATATATATATGATTCAAAATGCACTTCTACTAATGTCAATGTGCACGTGAGCACCATGGTTTGATAAAAGATTTGCTCATGTTTGGAAGAAATAATTGGATCTTACTTCCTTCTTATCTTTGGAGTTTGGAGCCACGTAGTAGTTTCCTTCACTAAGAATAGTAGGATTTGAGCTCCCTCCAATGGCGTACATCTCCCATCCATCGTACCTGTTATTCGCCACGTGAGCATAGCCTGTCCTCACCCTACAAAAACCATAGCAAGCTGCTCTAATTAAAAACTCATAACAGAAAAGCTTAATTAATCTCGAAAATTAGAATCTAACTGCATGGTGATTATGCTCTAACCAGTTGATTGATGAATAATTACCGTGGCATTCTCTGGACCAAATCTGAGCTAAATCGATTAAAAGCCACCGTCACCTTCATCGCCTTGTCAGCCGCAAACCCGTCCACGTGCCCAAACAACATTACCTGCAACCCTTTTTGCATTAATATTGATTCTCAGGTACCCATATATATATATATTAAAAATGTTGTTTACCGGTCAACCCCATAGTCTCGAGGGGTGGACCCTTCTTACAGACAGGTGTGCAACTACGCAGTAATCGAAACTCTGACTCGAGCGACTTACACCAAATATCACAACCAAGGAGTCAGGCTGACGCATCAAACATATCTCTTATACCTTGTGTTGTGATATATATATATATATATATATATAATATAATATAATAATAAGAGTAATAATGCTGCTAATAATAAAAACCCGTTGGACATGAACTTATATTTTAGTAAAAAAATTCAGGAAAACATGAATACACTGTCATCCTCACCATCAAATTCTTTTAGTAAAACAAGAATGTAATTACATTTAAAAATCATGATTAAAAAAGACTTAACCGTACCATTTTAGCATTAATCCCAAAAATAAAAAAAACTAATAGCCTATACGAACCACACTGTGAAAAAAGTTTAATGATAACTCATAATACTCCGAATGTTCGTATCTAAAATAAAACAATTCATTAAAATAAAGTTTTTAATATCAAAACTTAATTACTTTTAAAATCAAATTAATTTATCCTAAATATAAAAGAAATATAAATTATTTCCAAATTATATTAATAGCATCCCTTACTTTATCGTGATCAGCAAACAAATTATTGGAAATGGTGACCCTGGTAGAACCATGCGTAACATCCACCAACCCATCGAAGCACGCAGACAAGCTACAATGATCAATCCAGACATCCGTCGAATCCCAAACCGATATACCATCTCCATCAGAACCCAGACGATGCCCCGCATGCGACGGCGAGCTACGCACAATGCCAGCCTTGCCTTTCTTGCATCCATGTATCACAATCCCATGCACAATGACATGGCTCACTTCTTGTATGGTAATGCACGGCCCACCATTCCCTATGTCCACCTTAACGCCTCGCCCATCAATGGTCTTATAGCTGTTCATGATAAGTTCATTCTTGAGTTTGATGGACATGTCTCTTGAGAAAATGATCCAAAGGGGTTGTGTTTGGATTGCGGCATAGCGGAGTGTGCCGGGGGAGGGGTTGATGGGGTCATCGGAGGGGTCGGTGACAGTGTAGATGGGGCCGTATTTGCCACCGATGGCGGTTGCGCCAAAGCCACGAGCGCAGTTGGCGAGGTTTTGGCGGTGGGAGGACCAGAAGGGGTCGGAGCGCCAGCAGGAGTCGATGGGGTTTAAGGGGGGTTTGGGTGAGTAGTAGGGGAAGGAGGAGGAGAGGGTGGGGAGGAGGAGGAGGAGGAGGTAGAGGAGGTGGAGGGAGGAGGGAGGGGCCATGAGGGGAGGGGAAGGTGTGTGAGGTTGAAGGTGGGAAAGAGGGTTGGTTTTAAGTAGGGGAGGGGAGAGGGGAGAGGGGAGAGGGGAGATGCGTGAGATTTGGAGAGATGAGGTGCTGGTCACGATTAATGAATTTGTTGTTTTGACTTCGTTTTATTCTCTGAAGAATGGATGACTTGAGGAGGATTAAGAGGAGCTCTCGTGCTTGCACGAGTGCTGGAGCTACTAAATATAAAAGTCAACGGAGTGGTGAAAAGAAAAAAAAAAGGAAGAAATTAAATTATTAAGACATTCTTCTTAAAATTTAAACTTATTAGTGTTATTTTTTATTGATATAATTGATGAGCGCCAGATATAAAATTTATTATTCCCTTACTATTGCATGGAAATTCATCACACACTTAAATGGATTAAGCAACTAACAGAGACATTAGAAATTCTTATGTGAGAAATTTGAAAAGTGAAAAATCATGACTGAGACATTAGAAATTCTTATGTGAGAAATTTGAAAAGTGAAAAATTGAAAGGGATTACATAGTTGCTTGGCTTACAATATCAATGCGTTGAGAGCAATGTTGCTCCACGGTAGGTAGTGAACTGAGTCAGCGGCCCAAGACAACAACAACCAGAGGCAGCGACAGTGACGAACGATAGAAATAATAGTGAATGCGGTTCGATGCTCGGTGACCAGAGTTGGTTCGAGGCAGCGGCGGCAAGAAGCTGTAGTGTTCAGAAGGGGTGGCAGCAACCGGAGGCGGCGACAGCTGGAAGCAATGGCAGTTGAAAGATGCGATGATTTGAGTTGGCTGAAGGCAACAACAACTAGAAGTGACGACAGATGGAGGGGGTGACGACCGAAAGCTGTAGTGCCCAGAAGCAACAATGACCCGATGTGTCAGCGGCAGCCGTAGTCGGTTGGATTTGGTAGCGAGAAATCAAAAGTAGTGGTGGCTAGAAAAGGCAAAAGTGAAGGCGTCTTGAGATGGCGACGGTTGGAGTCTGTTGGATGGGACGGCGGTCAGAGGCAACAACAATCAAAATTGTTGGCGGCCTAAGGAGGTAGCGATGAATGCGACCCGATACTATAGTGATCAGAGTTGGTTGGAGGCCGCAATGGTGGCCAACAGTTGTAATGACTGGAAACAGCGGTGGAGATCAGAAGCAGCAATGAACAAAGTCGGTCGGATGTGGGGTTGGGCAGAGATGACGAGAAGCAAAAGCAGTGGACGCCTGAGGCTGCAACAAAGGCTGCTTGAGGCGATAATCAGAAGAGCTGGAAGTTTCATCAAGCGAAATAGCATGTAGCAACTGCTGCAATGAGCAGAGTTTGATGGATCTACAATGTAGGATGCAAGATTGCGACTCTCTCTTCTATAGACTCTGGACTTGCTCTTGCCCTATGGTCTAGCCTCCTCGTCATGAGGGATTTGGGGCTCTATTTATAGAGTCCAAATTAAAAATAAGAAAGAAAACCAAAACACTCTTAATTGGACGAGCTGAACAGATCCCCTTGATCAAACGACATTTGATGAACATTCAACAAACTTAACAATGTCAAAATTGAGTTATCTTCAACTTGTTGATTCGTCTCTTCAAGGCGCTCAATTTATGATAGAAAATTCCAGAACAATTCTCAACTTTACCGACGCTTAAGATCAATTAGAAACTAAATCACACTGTGAATTAATTGGATCACACCAATTCGTTAAAACTAGAACATAGAACTAAACAGAAAGGACAATCAAGGCAACCAGAAAAAAACACAAACTTTATGGGAAAACCACGGAAAACGGGAATAAAACATAGAGATACACTACCAGAAAGTTTCACAATGAATTTTAGAAAGTTTAAAGAGAACACACTCAAATTTCTTCTTCACACACATGAAAACATACAAGACCTCACTCCAAACTCTTTCTACTCGATACGATGTGAAAAATGCACACTGAGTTTCCAGAAATCTTCCTCTCAGACACTCATTTCCTTCATCAGGAACTTGCCAAAGAAACCCCGCGTTGGAACTATTGATACACCACTCAAAATGGGGATTAAAAACCAAACCCCTTATACAAACTATTTCGGGCACATAGGCGCCTGAACTTGGTGCTTAAGCGTCGCACTTATTGTATCAGTTCCTTATGTTGGGCACATATGCACCAATGTGCTAGCCTACCAGAAATATAACAAAACATAAGTGTAATTGGGTGCATATGCACCCATAGGTTGGCACATATGCGCCAACTTCTTTGATGTTTACACTCAAGTGGGCGCGTATGCACCCATTGCCCATCACATATGCATCAGGTGCTTTTGCCCCTACATATTGCTCTGCAAATTAGTATCCACTCTTACCAATCTCCCACTTGGAGACTTATTACACCCAACACTAGTCCTTCGTAATTGCACCTCCATTTAAATTACCTTGATAGTCACTTATCGTGGTCACGTATTATGGTATGGCTCACCCCCCGTTCTCAACCTTCATGAAACTCAACTGAAGTCAAGCATAACTTTAATTTTTTAAAAGTCACCACCTTCGTCAAAAATTTTGCAGGATTATGGGTTATGTGTTTCTTCTCAAGAAATAATGTCCATCTTTAAGAAAAGAGCGAATAAAATGATACTTCAGCTGAATGTGTTTCGTCTTAACATGAAAAACAACATTTTAAGAAAATTGAATCACACTTATATCGTCACTGTTTAGTTTTCCAATCCCCTACTCCTTGCCCAATTCTACCATGAAACTCTAACTAAATCATCTTCTTGTTAGTCTCAATAATAACAATATATTCAGCCTCCGTAGTTGAAAGTAAAACAATCTTTTGCAACATGGAAACCTAACTCAGCACTGTGCTCCTCAATGTAAAAATATACCTTGTCGTACTTCTTTTCCTCTCCACATCTCCTGTCATATCTAAATCTACAAATCCCTGAAGACTAATCCATACACTTCCATAGTAAAGTGTCAAGTTGATTGTTCACCTCGAATACTAAAGAATCATTGTACCACCTTCTAATGATGTCTGTTAAGATTGCCCATGTACTTTTCGACCACTCCCACCCCATATGCAGTATCTGGTATGGTACAAATCATTGCAACATCAAACTTCCAATTGCTACGACATATAAAGTTCTCTCCATCTAAGCTTGCTCTACTTTAGAGTTAGGTGATAGCTCCTTAGATAGTTTGAAGTGGCTACCTAAAGGATTGCTAACTTGATTCTTTGACAATTACTCCCAATCAAATCAAACCCATGCTCTAATAATAGTTTGATAAGAAATTCCAGGGCAATTCCCAATTTTATCTGGCTTAAGATCAATTAGAAACTAAACCACACTATGGATTAATAGGATCACATTTTGAGAAAATTGGACCAAAGAACTAAATCGAAAGCACAATTAAAGCAAATAGAAATGAACAATGAAATTTTACATGGAAAAACTAGGAAACTAGAAAAAAACAATGGACTCACACTGCCAGAATAATTCATTATGATTTTTATAGAGTTTACAGAGAACACACTCAAATTTCCTCTCAACACACAAGAAAACTTTAAAGACCTCGCTCCAAACTCTTCCTACTCTTATTCGATGCAAAAAAAGCACGTCGAGATTCCAAAAATCTTCTTCTCTAACACTCCTTTCCTTCACCAAAAACTTGTCAAAGAAACCTCGCACATGAACTATTGATACACTGCTCGAAATTGGGATTAAAAACCGAATCCCGTGTATAAATTGCTTCGGCAGCATATTCGTCCGGACCTGGCGCCTAAGCAACATGCTTACTAGACTGGTGTCTTATGTTAGGCGTATAGGCGCCAATAGGTGGGCGCATAAGCGCCAACCTCTTGGAAGTAAAACAACACATAAGGCTAAGTGGGCGCATATACACCCACAGGCTGGCGCATATGCGCCAGCTTTTCTGTTGTTCGAACTCAAGTGGGTGCTTATGTGCCGCTTTGCCCCTATAAGCTACTCTCCAAATCAGTCTCCACACATAAAAAATTGATTACAATGTCATATTTGGCATCTGTTTGACCTTCTAATTATGTCCAAAAAGCTTTCAAAAGTGTTTAAATTGCTTGATATTGGCTTGATTCAATTCATATTGGACCTACTTCTAGACTGTTGGGTCTGTCTCGAGATTCATGAATCTGGTCGAAACGGTCAGTTTTACTGTAAGTTTGCTCAAATCTTAGCTCTAGAGGATTTTGAATCAAAGTTTGAATGCTTCTTGCTAAAAATTTTTGCGTCGAAATCCATGCCAAGTCTCGAGATTCATACTGAATGATGAAAAAATTGTTGGTTGTGTATCAATAATATATGAAAAATTTATATTGTAATTGACTAATTGTCTTAGTTTGAAATCAATGTTTTTTAAATTTTTTATGATATAAATTTGGTCAAAATATGCCAAGTTAATTTAAAAAAAAAACAATTGGAATGATTTTTTGAATAAAATTAAAATTGAATTAACTTTAAAATACATATTACAAAACTTCAATTAATTTTTTATAGCAAGATTTAAAGTCAAACCTTTCAATTCCTGCCTATTTACACATCCAACATCTAAACTTCAAATTTCATACATACCAACTTAGCAATTTATGAAAAAATGTGTTTCCATTTTCAAAAGTAAAATTTGTGGTATTTTCTATTTGATATGAAAGATTTAGGTTGTATGAACGTAAAAGCATAGTTTAGATGTCAGATATGTAACTACATAGAAATGTAGTGGTATATATGTAAATTCCCTTTTTCTACATCGTCTTTATTTTAAAATAAATTTGATGAACTAGAAATATGTCTCAATCGCATGTAGAACAAATCATGTCAGCAGATGGCCAAATCAAAGACTTCCTATAAATAACCAAATGATGTTTTTTTCCCCCTGTTCTTAAATGTCTGTTTTGGGCAGAGAGAAACATCTGATGTCTTAAATCTTAATTTTGTATATATGA